CTCTAATCTCAGCACTCAGGAGGCAGAGGCAGGCAAATTTCTGAGTTTAAGCCCAGCCTGATTGATCTGCATGGTGAGCCAGATTTACATAGCAAAACCCTGTCTAGAAAAAAAAAAAGAAATTAATTAATTAAAAAATAAATTTTAAAAAGACAAGACCAAAAATACACAACAAAAGAATAAGGATGGGAAAACTAGGGAACAAGAAAATAAGAGCCAAAAAAAAGGGGGGGGGACATTTGACTAGGAGATCAGGGGCCAAGTCCAGTGGTGGAGACACTGACTTGGGGACTGGGCTGCAAGCTGACACAGCTTTCCCTTAACCTGTCGTGTATCTGAGCCTGACTGGTGGGTGTGTTGTCTCCAGGCAGTGTTTCTATACATTATTCTGTGTAAGTCTGTTTTTTTTCTTCTTCTTCTTCTCATAGTGGTGTGCTGGATAATTCAGGAGGGAAGATCCTTGTTCAGAAAGTCGCTGGGCAATCTGGGTACAAAGGAAGTTACGCTAATGGTATTCAGTCTTTATCGTTGCCAAGATGGAGAGAATCCTTCATCATCTCAGGTATGGTCCCACCCTGAAGACAGGATACAGGCATCTGAGGAGACACCAGGTTGAAACGTAGTCTTTCATTTGCTTTTATTTTTTGCTTATAGCTTACCTTGTTTCAGAGATATATGAAGCGTTCATTCTAAAAACAAGAATTATGAAATAGTGGATTATAATTACATGATAAATCACCACAAAGTCAAATCTGGAAATAGTGCATTAGCTGTTCATTCTAGCTGCATCATCCAATCCAACTTTGAGTAAAGAGAACTACTTTTATCAAATTGGGTTATTTAAAACAAACAAACAAACAAATCAAGTCCTTCAGATGGGCCAAATGTACCCATGTCTAGACCATTTTCCCTTGAGCTCTCTGTGTGATGGATAGATAGGTGGCAGCACAGGAGAGAAAGAATGAGTCACGATTTTATTTTCGATTATTTGGAGTTTTTGTTCACTTTGTTGCTTCACTCTTCAGCTCAACTTTCTAGCGCCATGGAAGTCTTACAGACAATACATTCTGACTCCCTCCCAAAACTCCAGGCATGTAGTTTCTTTCACATTGAAAAGGCAGCCAGCTCTCTCTGAGCCATCATGAACTACTTCTCCCATTTCTGTTTATTTCCCCAATCCAGTCTTTTATTTTGAAAATAAACTAACAGAAAATTTAAAAGGTAGCACAATGAGTACCTATCTTTCTTTCACCCAGATTTCTTAATTGCTTATATTTTTGTTTTACCTACTTGCATATCTATTATTTAAAGATAACTTTTCTGGAAAATGCTACAAGCATCCTCAGCATTTCATTTGTAACTATTGCTTCATGTGTGCAAACCTTTTCCTCAGTAACTCTCAAGGTGCCACATCTGAAAACAAACATTGAGGCAACACTGTCTGGTAACAAGTTCTTATTCACATGTTCAAAATACTCCTCATAATAATTTATTCCATTTTTGGGGATCTGAAATATGATCAAAGATTAAACCTAGCATTTAGTTGTCATATCTCTTCAGTCTCTGTTAATTCTCCCACCATGTCACATCTTGCCGTAACAAATAATAATGACATCCATGAAGTCTAGGCCAGTTGTCTAGGAGTATATCCTACAGTATGGACCAAAACTGGGGCCAGCTGGTGTGTGTGTGTGTGTGTGTGTGTGTGTGTGTGTGTGTGTGTGTGTGTATTTGTATTCCATCAACTCCAATATACATTTCTAAAGAATTTATTCTTTTTTTTACGTATGTATGTGTTTTGCCTGCATGTTTGAATGTGTACCATGTGTGTCCTGGTGCCCATGACAGCCAGAAGAGGATATCAGAAGGTCTGGAACTGGAGTTACAGTCGGTTGTGAGCCATCATGTGGGTACTGGAAACCGAACTCAGATCCCCTGCAAAAGCAGCAAGTGTGCTTAACTACTGAGCCATCACTCAACATAAATATCTTGATTGTTTTTTTTTTTTTTTTTTTTTTAGACAAGGTTTTTCTGTGGCTTTGGGGCTTGTAGACCAGGCTGGTCTCGAACTCACAGAGATCCACCTGCCTCTGCCTCCCGAGTGCTGGGACTAAAGGCATGCGCCACCAATGCCCGGATCATAAATATCTTGAAAAGGATAGGTTCTACCATCAAATCTTCATGGTATCATAGTACAATGGCCATGTCAAAGGGCTACACCGTCAGTTTCTTTAATTGTTGCCGGTACCAAATTTGATTGCTTGGCTAGTATAACCTAATTCTCAGGGACCAAGATACATGTGATTAATGAGCAAGCAAGGTTGCCTGAGTTAGCTTATCCCCAGTAGAGTTTACTCAGCAGTTCTAATGCCCATTGCCCATCCTGGCTTCACAAATAAGATATTAGTGGTTCTCCAGTATTCCCCTAGGGTACCAAAATCCACAAGCTGTTCACGTACCTTATGGACAATAGTACTGTACTATTGTCTGCATATAACCTATGGACATCCTCTGGTATCATTGTGCCATCTCTAGATCCATCCAGTACCCAACAATGTGGATGTTGTGTAAGTAGCTATTCCACTCTATTGTTTAGGAAACAATGACAAGAAAATAACAACATACAAGTTCAGGACATCTACAGATTATTTCCAAGTATTTTAATTGCAGACTAGTTGAATCCCAAATTCAGATACTATAGAAACAGGGCAAACTGTAACTGCAAAATTATAATTGTGTCATTCCTTCTACATTAGTGGTTTCCCCTAGCCCCCCTACACTGTTGTTTTTAATGTAGACTATGGACTCCCTTGGGGTTTCTTCATCTTTAAAATATAATGTATTATTATTCACCACACCTAACAAATCCTCATTGTGTTGTTGTATTTTATGTTGCCTGAGATTGGCCAGTGTAAACCGCTCGTTCTTTTGACCTGTCATATTTGATTTAGAGCACAAGATAATGTCCTAGGCTCACCTTACCCTCTCTTTGCTCAAGACCCCGGTCTCCTGTTTTCTCTAAGGAAGTTCCACAGCATTTAAAATTAGATTCGAACTCAAAGCGGCCTGGCCTCCTAGCAAGATTGGATGTGATAGAATTATCCGAAGAAGAAATTTCCGTGGAGAGAGAAATGTCTCATTATACCAGACTAGGTGGTTTTCTAAACCTCATTAGGCATCCCAGGTCCCAAACCTTTATTTCCTCGGTCCATCAGATCTGTGACAAAAGTAAAACCAGACCTTTTAGGGCCCTCCTCAAATTAGGCAATCCCTGTTTCGCTGATCCTGTTATTATACAGAAGAGCCCAGTCTCCTTATCAGATCATGGGAGGTCACTAGCCACAGAGTAAGTCTTGTAACAAAGAATTCAGGGCAGAAACCAAATGACAATGTCCCTATCTAGTTGAGCAGAGAGAAATACAACCTCCACGTAGGAATGTACCAAGCAACTCTTGCCTGAGCATCCAAACTTACAACTCAGCTTAAGGTCCAGGAATCATATCAGGGCTTTAAAGGAAAATCTCATTCCAAGAAAGAAGAAGTGTCGAGTGTTAAGACTTTTGTTGTTGCCGTCCTGTTTTTATTTTCGAAATAAAATCAGTTTAATGAGTTTATTCCCTATAAATCTCAACTTCCATCTCATTCTAACTTGTGACATTTCTCAGAAAAGGATTGTGGCCAAAGATAATAAGTGCTTGTGCTTATGCAGTGACTAGGAGACCTCTTTCAACTGGATGTGAGGAAGGGCACTGTCTGATGAAGTTGTAGCCAAGGACACCCTGTGATTCAGAAGTTCACGGCCAACAAGTATAACCCGATTGTGTCAGAAGCCTCCTCAGAAGGCTCAGGTGCCTGTGTGACCTTTCTCTGGATTTTTATTTCTAATTTTTATAGGTCACTGTGCTTCTTTAATTAATCTGCCTTAGGGCTCTGAGAGCTGTCGGGAGAGAGGGGGTGTGTGATTTTGGTCCTCGTGATTCTTGGACAGTGCCGGCTTGTGTGAGGCCAGCTCAGGTCCCCTAATGAGTGCCCTCTATGCTTTGTCCCACACATCAGACAACTGAGCTAGTGCTCACTTGCCTTCCAAACCCAGTTTTAATAAAAGGGGAGAGTCGATGCCTCGGCCTCTCTGTGTATGAACTCCTTATGGCCCATAGCCAGGAAGCCCTCATGAGGTCCGAAGCAGCCTCAACTAGGATCTGCTTAGAGCAGGCCGAGACATGGCTGAGGACTTGGAAATGACCCATTCTGCTCCCCAGATGGTTTTAATGCGATGATGTAAGAAGCACCTGTTTGCCTCATTTTTGCCTTTGAATGGAACTTACAGGTAATGCCTGAATAAAGTTTTGCGTCTTTGTGGACATACGCAGCTCCAAACACTTTTTAATTTCATTTTTTCATTACATCCCTGTAGCTTTTTTAGAGGTTGTGTCATTACTTATATTTTCCCAATGAAAAACAAATAGAGTCTTGAAGATTATAGCAGCTAATTAAAAGTAAAAATAAGGGCTATAGTATAGTGCAATCGTGGAGCACTTACCTAACATATGTGAAGGGCCCTGAGTTTGATCCCCAGGACCATGAAAATGAAAGTGAAATGAAAAAGTAAAATAGGAATCCAGTTTTTCTTGGTGTCAGGCATTTTCTGAGATCTCACAATCCTTGTGTCATTGGGATGTTTGGCACATTCCTAGGCTGTACCCTGGCCTACTCACTCCATATGACATACCCCTTACCATTCTCCCCAAGTACATCCCTGGATTGAGAGATGAATGCTTTCACATAAATATGATAGCAAGTAACACCCCTCCCCCACAATGGGGGGCACGGAGATTGTAGCAAGGGCCTAAACATTAAGATATTACCACTTGGGGCTAGAGAGATGGATCAGAGGTTAAGATGATTTCATGCTCTTGCAAAGAACGGTAGTTTGGTTTCTAGCACCTACACAGAGGGCCTCACTCATAAATACATGTGACTCCAGCTCCAGGAGACCCAAAACCTTTTTCTGGCCTCTGAGCATGAGCACGCACGCGTGCGCGCGCGCACACGCACACTCACACACACACACACACACACACACACACACACACACACACACACACACACACAATAAATCTTTAAAGATATTTCCTCAAGTCATAACTACACAAGACAATACCTATGGCCCTGGGATCTTAACAGCTATGCACAGACAAATGAACTTGTAATGGGCCGGGGAGGATACTATCTGAATCCCACTGGCACTCTCAATTTCATTGTAGAACAAAGCTCACTGTCTGGCATCTCTTGGAAATGAGATGACTCAGCAGGAAACAGCCTTCTGGGACAATTCCTGTCATCCCAGGCTTGAAGGCTACCTACTTCTCTGCCAGATCCTTTCTGATCCAGGTCTGATGGCCTGATGTCTTTCTTTTTTCTGCTTCTATTGTGTCCTTGTTAGACAAGATTGCTCTTTCTCCTTGCCTTGCATCTAACATTTCTCCCCAGGTGACAATCAATTGTTGTTTTCAAGGAGAACCCATAGATACAACTACTTGCAAGTGTCCATGATGCCCTGGGATTCAAATGGATCCCACAGGGTCCGTGAAAGTGAGAGGCCACCATCCATCCATCCACAGACAGCCAGTCCAAGACATAGAAGGAGAATGTGTGCAATATTTTGCATCCTTCTACTATTGTAACTGAACATTCAAAGCCCTGTAGACAAAAACCTGTTAGCTAACATGTCATATCTTCGTGGATGAAATAAGAAATTGCTAATGTTAAGCAACTCTGAGTCATGGAGATTTTATTACTTCCATTCTATTATTAATGAAACAAATGCTCCACGGGAAAACAAAACACCACTTGACTTCTTATTGTAATCAACAACTCAGTGCAAGGGCAACAGATGTTGCTGAACTCGAGAGAGATAAATTGGAAAAAGATAATCCACTCATCGGCACTGAAAGATAAAAGCCAGCTCCAAAAATAAATTTCTCTTTCTTTTCTTTTGCAGAGAGTAAACCCCAAAAGGGTGTAACCTACCCATCGACTCTTACATATTCATCAGCCAAAAATCCAGCTGCCCAAGCAGGCAAGTGCTCACGTGTTGCTTTATCCAAGCTGTCTGAGTTCATGAACATGCAATGTTGTGTTTTAGGAGACAGTGTGGTAACTAACATCTTACCCAGTCAAGCCCCACTGACCCTGGAGGTGCTTTAACCAATGCCAGGAATCTGGCACCAAAACCAATGTGATCAGACAGCTATGGCTTGGAGTGAAGGGGTTTTTGTTGCTTTCACGATTGAATATTGTCTCTGTATTTGTATCATTTTCATTCAGAATGTCTATGACCTGAGATGTTAGTGTACTGTTACTTTAGACGATGATATGACCTTAAGCCTAGAAACATTTCCTGGCAACTAAAAGGGAAGAGGCTGCCTCTGCCTGGCTATGAAGCAAAGGGAAGGAGAGAGAGCCATGGGGCTTGCTCACTAGGAACCAGCAATCAAGCAGTACATCTGCATTAGGACAAAGTACACTTCTGAGGGGCTCACCTGAGTCAGCCTCTACTTGCAAGAAATGGAAGGAATCCTTTTTCCGAGTGTCTGTGCTAAATCTATGGTGCTGCCTTGGGAGGCGCTTCAGTTTCTCACAGTCAGGTGCTTTCTCATAGGATGTCACATTCCAGAAACAAGGTGGGTGAACAGATTTGGTTTAAGTCCCACTCGTGGATGTAGGGCAGATGTGGCTCTGGAATTTCAAGAGCCAGCGTTTCGTTTCTTGAATATTGCTGTGTGCAAGGCACTGCAACAAGACCTTTCCCTGGTAGTTTTTAGTTAGCTTGGATTACTACCAATACACCATTCTTAGCCCTAATGCACAGATGCAGAAAACACAGCTCAGAGAAGTTGAGTGAATTGTCAATGACAAACAGCAAAGAATTAGTAAAGTTGAGAGCCAAGCTCAGACAGTCTGGCTCCAAACACCACGCCCTAAATCACTGTGCTAGATTTTCTTCTACCAGCCACCCTGCTTTCAGACTCCCCGTCTGATGACACGTTGGGAGTTGCCTGATTTTTTAGTCACTGAAACCATCATGACATATTTATTGAGTTGCAAGAACACAGCCATTCCCCACAGTGGAGTGACACCTTACAGACCAGATCTGAGATGAGTCCTGTCTTCCTTCGCTGAGGACAAGGGGACTGAGAGTAAGCAACAGAAGCTTCCTAACAGTTTCCGGGTCTGCCGCCTCTGCTCATCAGGTGATCTCTAAAGAGGTGAAGTGTGCAAATAACTGGGTTCTGTTTTATCGAGTCTACACTTGTCCTGTCCCTAACCTTTTCTTCCATTCCTAGCATACCATCCCAGAGAGCGGCAGCCCCTGCACTCAGAACTCTGGGTTTCTCTTTAGACTGCCCTGGGGCCTGAGTTGCTCTGAAGTGAGATCACCATCCTTGCCTTTCTCACTTGGTCTGTAGCTGTTGAGGGCCTTTGGCTAGGCATGTGCTAATGTAACTGATAATCTTAGAAATCCAAGTGTAGAGAGAGTTGCCATTGCCAAGTAACCCCCTGACAGCGGAGTACATGTGTCAAGACCCTCTCTCCTTTCACTTTGTGGGGAGAGTGCTTCTAACCTCTCAGAATATTCCCCTACTGCCTCTGCAAAATTCTCTCCAAGGGGTCCAGGGTGTGCCTGTGAATATTCTACCTCAGAAAGACTGGCAGGAAATAGATAAGCCACCACCAGCAGCTTCTTCTTCAGGCTTGGAGAGGCAGGCATACTCCCCTAATCACGGCCCCTCCCTTTGTTGAGCCTTTCTCTCCCTCCCCTCACTGCATGGGAATGCTTGGGTCTGGTGACTATGCAGATTAACCTGGAATGGTCACGGTAAAGGTGTGGGAAGCTCAGAGGCAAATTTCCTGGTATAGAAAGCAGTGTTTCAGGTCCTCCTGGCTTCAGCCCTCAGTCCAAACCTGAAAACTGGGAAGGGTCCCACACAACATTCGGTGACCATAGCTATCTGACAAGTCCTCTCTCTGTGAAGAGCCCAGCGCTATAACAGCCTGAGGCACCCTTACCTCCCCCTGCTTCAGATAAAGGCACTGACCAAAGAAGGGTTTAGCAATTTCCCCAAGGCTGTGATTTTAACTAGTTCCTTAGAGACTGATGGATTGCATCATCCTAAAGCAGGAAACAGTTGTGGGGAGAGAGACATCTCTCCATTTGGAGTGCATTTGGTCTCAAAGCCCCAAGCAGCCAAGGTCTGTCCAAAGCTCCTCTTACTTACACCAGCCATGGCCAAGCTGAATTGTCCCCACCCACTAGACACTTATCTCTATGCCTGCGTAGCATCTTGAAGTAGTGCAGGTGGGCCATGGGATTTCTCCCTTCCTACTTCTATTTACATCTATGAATTACCCCAAATGCCACACTGTCGAAGCACAACCTTTACTGATGTCACTTGTCTTCAAGCTTCTGTGGCGTATCTCCAGGTATTATTATCCATCCCTTATGTCATTCACACATGACATCATCACAGAGAGTGACATTTCTCCATTCACCCCTTCACTCACCACTGAGTATCTCCTGTGTGCCAGACCCAAGCTCAGTGAGTGTGACAATATCAAAGGGATGCCCTTTAAAAGGACATGCCCACATGGGGTGAGTTCTTACTAATTCAAATAAAAATTCCAGTGAGAACCATGGAAGAGCAGCCTCAATGTTACTCTTCCTTTTTTTCTGTTTTTTTTTTTATTATCATTCATTTTATATACCGATCACAGTTCCCTCTCCCTCCCCTCCTCCCAGTCTGCTCCCCTCCCCCATTCACTCCTCAGAAAGGGCAAGGCCTTCCATGAGGAGTCAACAAAACCTGACACGTTAAGTTGAGGAAGGACCAAGCCCCCTCCTGCCTGCATCGAGGTTGAGCAAGGCATCCCAACACAGGGAATGGGCTCCAAAACGCCAGTTCATGCACCAGTGATGAATCCTGGTCCCACTGTCAGGGGTCCCACAAACAGAACAAGATACACAACTGTCACCCACATTCAGAGGGCCTAGTTCAGTCCCTTGTAGGCTCCCTAGCTGTCAGTCTAGAGTCCCTGAGCTCGGGTCAACTGTCTCTGTGAGGTCCCAGTCATGCTATTCTTCCTAAGTGATCAAATTCCTTCAGAAACCAGGCAAAACAGAAAAGACAGAGATGCAGGATTAACTATGGCTCAGGTCTCAGCACGCTGCATAAAATGCTTCCTATACACTGGAAAGAATGAGTTTATAGGTAAATCCGGTTAGGGTAACAACTCCCCCCCCAAAAAAGCAATACCCACCATCTTTAGTGGCAAATTATCTCACTCAATCCCCGGAAGGTATCTGATTTGCCTTGCAGGGCTCACACTGGGGACAGATATTGCCTGAAATTTAAAGGCTGTCTCTCCCAGGCAGTTAGCAAGCATTAAGCAGGCAGCTGCTACTTGGCTACCACCTCCATTTGCTCTGGGCTAAATAAAAAAACTGGTAAGTGTTGATTTGCAGAAATGCACCAGAAAACTGGGGAGGCAAATTCTTGGTGTCATGGCCAAAGAAGGCTGAGGAAATTTGCTACTGAGAGAGAGTGCCAGGGTAGCAGCCCCCTGCCTTCCCTCGGCTGGTAGCTAAGCCCTGTCCTGGAAGGAGGTCCAGCTAATGCTTACAGCATTAAGTTTTACCTCCCAGGCATGCCCTTGAGACCCCAACTACCCCATTGCGACTCCTGAGAGTAAGCTTTGGTGAGATGGCCATCACAGACCTTGAGATACATTCAGGAATTCTCAAGTGACCAAGGCCCATCTTCTACTTGGTTCCCTTTCAGTGGACGAAGAGCATGAGTTTGGAGTCAACCTCGCTTGAGCTCTAACCTTGCCTCTGTTTCCATTCATCCTTGCAAACCGGATGCTCCTGGACCTCTTAAGAAGCCTGTTCCTTAGCTTAACAATAGAAACATTTGTGTCTACTTCCAGAACTCTGACAGTCTTCACCCAGAATGCTTATGTGAAAATCCTCCAAAGTTCAGCAGATAGCAGATGGGTGGTAATCTCAGATCTCCTGCCCTGGCATACAGCCCCAAGGCTCAGAATGAGTTAGTGGGGAGAAGAACCAAACCCTCTTCCAGCACTCAGACCTATGGGCATCTTGGCTTCTGTCTTCTTCACAGCCACCAAGGCACACTGCTGTGAAATGCCAGCTCCTACCATTTATTGAATTCCTTCATGTGCCAAGCACAGTATGGATTGGATGATGTGTATACTTCACCCAAATTATGGCAGCAACTCTGCCAAGTAGGCATGACTGTCCCCACTCATAAAAGACAGGTTCGAATAACTTTAGAAGCAAGGCTGGTGATGGTGGAGCTAGGAGCCCAATCTGGTCTGAGCTGCAGTTCTTCTATCAAAATTCCACAGCCCATCTGGGAACAGTTCCTGGCGGCTGCATCTGTAACCTGCCCTCTGCTCAACTCCATTGAACTGCCAGGTGCAGGGAGTTTTGGGGCTCCATCTGCAGCTGTTGAGAAGGTGGCTGGAGAGCTGTTCTTGGCCATGACCAAATGAGCAATATACAGACAGCCTAAGGCATGTCTGTGAAAATCTCTGAAAGGAGACAAAGCTTCCATTTATCTGACCATACTGTCCACAGAAACTATTTGACTGGGTCTTGTGTCAGTTTCTTCAAAATGAACCAAGAGTATAGTATTCTGTAAGGAACTGGGAGAAGTTAGGACCTAAAAATGGGCAACCTCTTCTTCCATTTTAAAGACAGTTCTCATTTGTGACATGGAATGAGTAAAAACAGACCACATAGGACCAGAGAGATGAGTCTTGAGTAAATTGACCAAGTATTTGAAAGTAGCTGTGACCTGCCAAGTAACGCACTGTCTGCCTCCGTGCCATTTAATCTCTAACTCTCTTGAAAATGAATATCCATGAACTGTGATGACTAGGGTAGTCAGGGACCTAGGACCTGATCAGCTGGGTAAGAGGAAGATAATTGTGATTCTCAAACTATAATAAGTTTATGATGGGAAGATGTCCCAGTAAAGGCTTTACTTTGCTGCATTATGGCCACATTAATTATTTGAAAGTAAAAAATATACTGTCTAGTTATGTATAATCTGTCTCTCGAAATGAATCATTGGACCCTGGTCTTGTTCACTGAAATCTACAAGCAGTTCTACCCACAGCTCCTCCCCAGATGAAGCAAAGCAAACCTGGGCCCACATCTCCCTCAAGAGGTGCCAAAGCCTTCTAGCAACAGTGCAAGGCTGAGGATCCCTCTTGAGAAATTAAACACTACTCCAGGACTTATTATGAATGGCTGTCCTCTAAAGTAAAGGAAATATCCTACATCAGGCAGGTTGGCTTTGCCCCAGGATGGTGCAGATGCCGGCTGAAGCCCAAAGTCATCTATGGCTCTTTAGTGGTCATCTGCCCTGGCCTTCTGACTGATGTAAAGATGGCTAACTGTTGGCAAGCAGCAGGGTAAATGAAAATGGCTGGATGGAACCCTGGTGATGGATTTGGTTCTTGTCTGGCCTGCCCTCCCAAATTAGTGGCATGATTTATTCCTGGAAGGTGACAGGGTCAGGCTGTGGAAGGGAGCAGGTGCCAGTGTAGAGCAGTGGGTCTGAGCACCCACCAAATGTTGGTCTGCTGGGCTGCAGCTCTAGCCCTGTTATTCTAGGATGCTGTACTGTGCACAGAGCAAGTTGGATGGAGAAAGAGGCATCTTTTGACTCTGGTGCCATCAGTGTCCATCTGTTTGTCTGTCTGTCCCCCGCCACCAACACCACCCCCCACTGCTTTTCCATGTGTTAGGAAGACAGCTTAACAGGCTAGGACCGAGTGTGGCAGGGGCCTCCTTC